GGGATTAGACATGGAGATCAGTGAAGGTTTTCTGGTGCACTTCATAATGACTTCTCTTCCTGCATCTTTTGAAGCTTTCAAGGTCAACTACAACACCCAGAAGGTCAAGTGGTCGATGAATGAGTTGATTGCTATGTGCGTACAAGAAGAAGAGCGTCTGAAGCTGGACAAACCTGATGTGGCTTACCTCATGACCGCTAATCCAAAGAAGACGAAGGGCAATGTTGATAAGAAGGATGTTTCTAAAGTCCAGAAACGTGATGCAAGTGCTTCTTCTAGCTCTAAGAACTCCAAAGGGAAGTCTTACTGCAAGTTCTGCCGCAAGGAAGGACATAGACAGAAAGACTGCCAAGACTTTAAGGAGTGGCTGACGAAGAAAGGTAATCATCTTTACATGATACTTGAGTCCTTTAATTTAAATGTTCCAACTAATACATGGTGGTTTGACTCTGGTTCTATGATTCATGTAACCAACTCACTTCAGAGATTCCTTACAATCCAGAAGCTGGAAAGAAACCGAAGAACACTTAAGCTGGGGAATGGAACAGAACTAGCTGTCGAAGCCGTGGGAACCTTAGAATTAATAATGAAAAGTGGTTTATGTATTAAACTTTATGATACCTTATATATTCCTGAGATTACTCGGAATTTAGTATCGGGACCAAAGTTAGACATAGACGGTTTTGATGTTTCTCATGGTCATGGCAGACTTACTATTAGTTTCAATTCTCAAGTGTTTGGTCATGGTTTTCTGGATGGTGGTCTCTATAAATTAGAACTAGATGATGATTTTTCCAAATCTTTGTTGTCATATAATATCAATCAGATACTAACAAAGAGAAAACGAAAACGAGACTTAGAAACTTCATCCATGTTGTGGCATCAACGCTTAGGTCACATTTCACGAGAACGTTTATCTAGACTCGTGAAGAATGAAGTGTTACCATCTCTCGATTTCAATGATTTTGGAACATGTGTCAAATGCCTTAAAGGTAAAATGACATCAGTGAATAAGAAAGGTGCCACTATGAGTTCTAATTTATTAGAGCTCATTCACACTGACATTAGTGGTCCTTACTCTATCACTGGCATAACTGGACATAACTCATTTATCACTTATATTGATGATTATTCTCGATATATGTACTTGTATCTCATTAAGGAAAAATGTGAATCACTTACAACTTTTAAAGATTATAAAACTGAAATTGAAAAACAACTTGATCGACAGATAAAAGTTGCAAGATCAGATAGAGGAGGTGAATATTATGGTAGACATACTGATGCGGGTCAAGCTCCTGGTCCATTTTATGAGTTTTTTAAGGGCCAGGGGATCGTGAACCAATATATTATGCCTGGTACTCCTCAGCAGAATGGTGTTGCTGAGAGAAGAAATAAGACCCTAATGGACATGGTACGCAGTATGTTAGCCAACTCAGGTTTACCTCTATTTCTTTGGACTGAGGCCTTAAAAACAGCTGTTCATATACTCAATAGGGTTCCTTCTAAAGTTGTCCCTAAAACTCCTTATGAACTCTGGACAGGAAGGAAACCGAGTCTAAGATATATGAAAGTATGGGGTTGTCTTGCCGAAGCTAAACTTTATAATCCCTTCTTGAAGAAACTCGACATGAAAACTGTAACTTGCTACTTCATTGGTTATCCTTCTCACTCAAAGGGTTACAGATTTTATTGTCCTTCCCACGTCACTCACATTGTGGAAACCAAAGATGCTCATTTCCTTGAAGATTTTAAGGTCA